CACAGCCGAAGTCCAGCAAAACGATGTTCAGGTCCAGCCATGCTAAGGCAGTCGACACCCCAAAATGCCTGGCCTGCACGGTGGCGGGACCGGCCGCAGGCCGCCGGACAGGGCGATGAGGTCTGTGCAGATCCAACACCCATGGCCAGGCCCTCACCCTGGGCTTCGGTCGGGCGTGTCCACCTATTTGGGCGCCCGAAATGGCTACGGAAAGAATGGGCACTATGCCCAACAACCAATGTTGTCCCAAACCAACAGCGGCCGCTGTTGGGCGGGCGGCCTCCTGTCTCGAATGAGCACAAGCCGCGGCGGCGTGGACAGCGGATCTTGTTCAAAATGAACTAGATCCGCTGTTGGGCATAGTCCCCATTCTTTCAGTACCCATTTCGGGCGTCCAGAACCTACAGGCGGAGTTTGGGCGAAAATAAAATAATACTCCAGAAAGGTTCAAAAAAGTACTCCAAAAAAAAAAAACAAAAAAAACAAGAAAAAAAAAAAAAAAAAAAAAAAAAAAAAAAAAAAAAAAAAAAAAAAAAAAAAAAAAAAAAAAAAAAAAAAAAAAGAAAAAAAAAAAAAAAAAAAAAAAAAAAAAAAAAAAAAAGATAACAATAGCACAATCTTCCCCGGGTTTTTTTGTTGACTTGTTTTTCTAATGTTAACCCCTCGGCAGGGGGAACACGCGCCGACGTAACCCTGAAGCCCAGCAGCGCAGCGGACGACCACTCCTCGGCTGGGCAGGATGGCATCGCGCTCCGAGCGTCCCGGCACACGTCGGGAAAAGGGTCCTGCCAGGGGGCTGCGAAAAAACAAACGCATGTCTCGTGCCCAGGTTGGATGTGGACAAGTGCCCTAGTCGGGCGTGTCCTCCCACGGAATTTGGACGAAAAAATCAGAAAAATCCAAAAAAAAAAAAAAAAAAAAAAAAGGACGGAAAGAAGAACCCCACATAAGAATCCTCTGGGCGAATCTGGAAAAGCCATCACCGTCGCCCTCGTGGTTGGTGAGGCGTCCTGGCTGTCTCTTCTGCGTATATTTCCTCTCGCCTTGGCGCGGGCCCCCCTTCCACTCCTTGCGTTGTCCCCATCCTCGCCCCCCTGTTTGTTCCGCGCCCCGCCACCTCCCCCCCTTCCTGTTGCATGAGCGCGCATGTCGATGTTCCTCGGCGCCGTCGCCGCCACGGCCAGCGCAGGCGCGTTCTCTACTGGTCACGTCGCGCAGCCGTTGGGACAAACCCCCGGGCCAGGCTGTCGGGACAACCCCGCGAGCCGTTGGCGCGCAAGACCAAGCCGTTGGGACAACCCCGCGGGCTTCGAGCGAGGCGCAGCCGCGCTCAGGCGGAAGGCAGCACGAAGCCCAGCTCTGCCGCGAGCTGCTTCGCTTCCGCCCTGGACAAAACCGTTCTCTTGTCGAACTCCAGGAGCGCCTTCCGCAGGGACGCCGGCGGCCCGCACTCCAGGAACTCTCGCGGCGGCGGCCGCAGGATCAGCATGTTCCGCATGCACGTGGCGCGGGAGAACATGACGTAGAGGTGCAGCCACCACTGCTCGTCCGACATGCCCGTGCGGCCAGCGTCCTCGTCTCTCGCGCAGTCGATGTGACGCCCTTGCGCAGCGTCTGGCCCTGCGACAGCGTGGAGGTCAGGTAGGACGCGTGCGTCAGGGTGAACCCCGAGCGGCGCACGCTGCGCGCCCCCGAGCTCTGCCATGTGAACTCCCTTTCGCTGGGCCTGAACATCAGCAAGCTCCGCGCCCGCGCCTCGGCCTGGCCGTCGTCGTCGGCGCCTTCGGCGCCCTGTCGCAGCACCTCGGCGACCTCCTGGTAGATCGGAGACACCTTGAAGCCGTGCACCTGCAGCCAGATTCCTGACCCGCTCGGATTACCCACATGATCTGCGGGCCCCATAGGGAGGGGGCCCCCGCCTGAGACTTCCTCGCAGTTCACTCACAGACGAGGCCCCAGCCTGAGACTTCCTCCATATTCAGGCTTGAGGAGCCCAAAAGTGACGACAGTTACAAGGTTCCGATGACCCGCTCGGATTACCAACATGATCTGCGGGCCACATAGGGAGGGGGTTCCCGCCTGAGACTTCCTCACAATTCACTCAGAGACGAGGCTCCCGCCTGAGACTTCCACCAAATTCAGGCTTGACGAGCCCAAAAGTGACGACAGTTACAGGGTTCCGATGACCCGCTCGGATTACCAACATGATCTGCGGGCCCCATAGGGAGGGGGCTCCCGCTTGAGCCTTCCTCAGAATTCACTCACAGACGAGGCTCCCGCCTGAGACTTCCTCCATATTCAGGCTTGAGGAGCCCAAAAGTGACGACAGTAACAGGGTTCCGATGACCCGCTCGGATTACCAACATAATCTGCGGGCCCCATAGGGAGGGAGCTCCCGCCTGAGACTTCCTCACAATTCACTCACAGACGAGGCTCCCGCCTGAGACTTCCTCCATTTTCAGGCTTGACGAGCCCAAAAGTGACGACAGTTACAAGTTTCCGATGACCCGCTCGGATTACCAACATGATCTGCGGGCCCCATAGGGAGGGGGCTCCCGCCTGAGACTTCCTCACAATTCACTCACAGACGAGGCTCCCGCCTGAGACTTCCTCCGTACTCAAGCTTGAGGAGCCCAAAAGTGACGACAGTTACAGGGTTTGGATGACCCGCTCGGATTACCAACATGATCTGCGGGCCCCATAGGGAGGGGGCTCCCGCCTGAGACTTCCTCACAATTTACTCAACGATGATGAGGATGAGGATGATGAGTGGTGGTGAAGATGAGTGGTGAAGAGGATGATGATTGATTGTGAGTGGTGGTGGCGATGATGATGCTAGAATGAGGATGATGCCGATGCCGATGATGATGATGATGATAATGATGTTCGTGAGCGTGTGAGAAGAGTGCGAGTGATGATGATGATGAGTATGTGAGTGACTAAGCATGTGAGAGAGCATCATCGATGATGCTGATGAGGTTGATGATGAGAGAGTGTGAGTGGGTGTGAGTGGGTGTGTCTGTGTTCCTGTCCTGTTCCTGCGCGGGGTGTCCAGACAAAACAAGAACCCCACTTTGGATGTGGGGAACTAATTCTACTTCCCCGACGACAACTAACACTACTACTGGTATTCCGAGTACTACTACACTACTACTACTACTACTACTACTACTACTACTACTACTACTACTACTACTATTAGTACTGCCGCTGCTGCTGCTGGTGCTACTATTACTACTACTACTTCTTCTTCTTGTTCTAATAGTACTACTACTACTAATACTACTACTACTACTACTACTACTACTACTACTACTACTACTACTATTACTATTACTACTACGACCATCACTACTACTACTACTACTACTACTACTACTACTACTACTACTACTACTACTAATAATACTAAACTAACTACTACTACTACTACTACAACGACTACAACAGATTAAGACTATACTACTACTACTAACTACACTACGCTCTTCACACCACTAACCACGACTACTACTACCTACAACTACTACTACAACTACTACTACTACTACGACTACCTTACTACTACTACTAACTAAACTATTCTTCTTCAACTAACACGCTACGGCTACTACTACCACTACTAATACTACGACTACTACTACTACTACTACTACTACTACTACTACTACCACCACTACTACTACGACTACGACTACTACTACGACTACTACTACTAATACTACTACTACTACTATTACTAATACTAATAATGCCACTGATACTCCTACGACCATCACTATGACTACCACTACTACTTCTTCTACTACGACTACGACTAGTACTACTACTACTACTACTACTACTACTACTACTACTACTACCACTACTACTACGAATACGACTACGACTACGACTACGACTACGACTACTACTACTACTACTACTACTACTACTACTACTACTACGACTACTAC